CGAGGAAAGTTGAACTCACGCAAACATACGGTAGGACGAACGCACACGGCAGTGTTTGGCGACGGCCGGATGTACGAGGGTAGCAGACCACATCACTCGTCGTCCCGGCCGGATGTCCCGACATTGAAATACAAGCGAACTCGTGCGCGTCCACCGGGGTTACTAACCCCTACAGTTCTTTATCGCTTCTCTCCTCTTCTCTTCTCTTCTCAATCTCACGTCTCTGTAGTGAGAAAGTCACTCATATTGATTACTAAGAATATAATCACTGATCGTTACCACGAAATAACAGTTTCCAAAATTATAATAATTTTCTGTCTTACACACATCTCATGTATTCCATTTAACATTTTGCAAATGGAACAAATCGCCTAATTATTTAATTAATTAGTAATAAAATTAATGTTTAATTAATTAGTAATAAAATTAATGTAATCGTCATCTTTAAAAATATTATGACAAATATTAAATAAATCTTATTTCAGATAACTATATTTATTTTGTAATTAAGAAATTGTTATTTCATTTAATTAAGAGTTTTTTAATATTATTTTACTTTATTTGTTGCTTATATGTATTTATTAAAATCCAAAAAATTTCTAAATCCAATAATTTTAACTTCTTGATGAAATATCATTGTATAAAGAGAAATTAGAGGTTTTTCTTCAGCTAAATATTCAAGAGTTTCGAAGTGTTAATTCTTAAAAAATTTGTCAACTTTGATATGAAATGCTTGATATCAAAATGTTAAATTATAAAATTACAGATAACATTATTTACATTTTCTAGCTTTTAAAGTATCTCTTTTTTATTCACAACTATTTAAAAACTAACATTGCCATATATTCGAGAAGTATCCTGTACTGATGGCTGATGGCAATGCCTCACTGTCCTATACAATACTGCTCTCACGAACTACTTTTCCCTCCCGCATTCCCGAATATATCTTCCTCACGTGCAATCTTTAAAAGTTCCCATTACTGCTCGGAGTACAATCCTCGTTGTATCGTCTCTACCCATTGCGCCCTGTCAGAGTTCATAGTGGTGCCGGCACTCGAGCAACGGTCTCCTTCGTCTCGGGGGTATTTTATCGTGTCGCCAGTAATAAGGTTTCCACGTGTAAGAAACCACCGAGGTGTTCCGCGATATAGGTGGTCGAGGAGCGGTACAGAAAGAGACAAAGGGGGCGGCAAACGCGGCGATGGGGCGAAAGCGGCGGGGTAGCGAGAAAACGAAACAGGCGGGACGCGGTGGAGTGTGCGCTCCACCAGGCAGCCAGAGAATCCAATCGCAATAGAGTTAAGTGTTCGAGAGTAAAACCTTGCCGAGGCACGACCTCGATTACTTGCCCAGGATTTGTTACGGCCACCTTTTCTGCCACTTTCTAGCGGGTAACCTCTCCGCTTCTTCGGCACCATAGAATCGTCCCAGAGTCTTTCTTTAGCAGCGAGCCTTCCTGAAAGGCAAGCAACGTAACATGGACGTAACACTAAAGGGAGTAAAAGAACGCTTTGTTCCCCGCACCGTTGCCAGGCTTTTTTCCGCTATCAAGCACAAGGGACTTCCGATTGGCCGAGTTTAGTCGGCCACCAATTCTCGACGTTGCCGTCGAATAACGTGTCGTAAAACACAAATTTTTTCGTATGCCACTCCTTTATTGGCACTCGTTCCCATCCGTTTTTGAACGAATTGTTTGCGTTTCAATATCAAAGAAGCCTTTTGCGATGGAAAATTCAAGAGATACCCGTTTAATAAATAAGCAGATAATGTTCATTGAGATTTGCTTTATCTAATTTTATATTGATGTGTACTGATAAAAACCAATGACATCTTAATATTAAAATTTGCCCCTGTTCTCTTAAGAGATTTAAAATGTCAATTATTAATTTACACAGAGATACGAGCGTGAATCTATTGTTGATATTTGAAGAACGATTAATAAGCTTTGAACTTTTATTTTCGATCGGATAATCTAGTTGCTAATATTATTAACTTTACTTATATGATGAAAACTTATAATTATCGAATATTAAATCAATACAGTTTTAAATAAAACATATTAATAGAATAGAAATAAATATAGTAAATACAAAAATTAACAAAAGCATTGTTTTAAATTAAAGAATTCTGAAAAGACTCAAGAATTATTCTGTGCATCAACTATTAGAACTGATTAGAACATTATAATTATAAAAATAGATTGTAAATTTAGTCGAATTGATAGAGAAGTGATATAAATAAAATAATATGTAGTGTTTGTTATTTTTGAAGTAATCAAAATATTATCTGCTGCCATATAACATATGTTTATACTCAAGAGTGATATTGTACGCGGTACATTATTTGTTTGTTCTTAAAAAATAATGATTTATATCGCTGGCGTTAAAAATGTTTTAATTATGATAGCAAATTATGTTGCTAATAAATATAATAATAAAACATAATTTCTATATTACTGCGATACAGGAGAATTATAATATTGAACTCGTAAACGCTTAGAAAAATAAAAAATTATTTATCATAAAAGACAAATAAGTTTCAAAAACGGTTAATAATTGTATTGTATACATTGTACCTGAAAATTTTTCAAATTAAATTACAAATATATATAATTAAATTAAATTAATTAAATTATTGATTTGAAAGAAAAAAAGATTGCATAATATGCGAAGCTTTATGCAAAATTACTTGGAAATATTACAGATATTTTGCGAGTATTCACAAATTAATGGCTAGTATTATAAACTATCATAATATAGTTGCTTTTTGCAGCATCTTACAATTCTGTCAAGATTCCAAAATGCGTCTTTATATACACGTTTTGCATCCGTTATTGCGTACTGGTTGGTAAAGCTACGATCGGAGTACCGGGATTACTCGCGGGATTCTGCCCGGCGGCAAAAGCCGCCTTAATGCAATTCCGAACACATTTTCTTAGTTGGTTCTTCTTGTTTTACTGTGAAAATCCTCGAGGCCGTTATGTTGGTAACGATAGAACCGGCACGGCAGGCTGTTACCGCCACATGCCGCCATAATATCGGACAAAAGTTTTCTGGCTAGCAGGAGAAAATAATTTGATATGACTCGTCGTTGTGCAGGTGGAACTTCGAACGAAACGAAGATCCTCTAAAGTACAATTATAAAGCCGATGGTACCGCTATTGCCAATTAAACATAGTGTTGCGATACAGAAGGTTCCAAGATGTATTTTTTCTTTAAAAAAAAAATTCATTTCAAACTGTCTTTATAACACAAAAATTGATTTTTGTAAAAATTATTATAATATAATGATGTTATTTACAATTTACCATAGAAATTTCAAATTTAAAAGGAGTAAAAATTTTGAACAAAGCTAAAATGAAAAACTTAAAGTATATTTTTGTAAAAATTATTCGTTTAAAATATATAATTTTTTTCTAATATTAATATTTATAGTATCTTAACAATAAACCAAGAAAATAAAAGCAGTTCTGTTATTCAAATTGTTATATTAAACTATATTATCTCTATTTCTTCATGTGACAATAAATTAAATTTATGATAAATAAATACTATCGTTAGTTTTCTTCATATGATTGACATAATTTTATGCTCGATATAAGATAAAAAAAAAGTTGAAAAAAAGGAAGCAAAATCATAAAATCGCATTAAACCTTTTGCAAAAGCTATATCATAAAGAGAGTTATATTGCAAGAAAGAAAGTACAGTTTGCGCTCCATATTGAGTGGAAAAGTTAAGAGATCGCGAAGAAGATTTCTCCTCTGCGCCCTCGCACTTCTTTCCCTTTGTCTCTTTCCTTTCCCTTTCTCTCACTCTTTTGCAGCCTCTTTGTCCGTAACCCTCAAAGACGCTCGTTTAAGCGTCCGATTTCTCCTCATTCTCCTTCTAGAAGTCTCTCTCTCTCGTTCTATCTCACTTATTCTTCTCACGATTTCCCATTACGACACGCCAATGGTGAGTTCCGAGGCTTATTAAATTGTAACAATTTTAATTAGGGAAGCACCGGCCCTTACACTCTCCCTTCTCCCTTTTCTGCAGTTTTGTTTTCTTTGTGTCTAAGAGTACCTATCTCGCAATTAAAGATATTCTTTTTATCTTCAGTACAAAAAAATTAGATACCCACTCTGCAGGCATTCTTTAATTTCTTGTTTTAAATTAGTACCACCTGCGTAACATCATCGTTTTATATTTATTAAATAGGCATGAACGAATATTTATTGCACATGGATTTCTTATGATCGTAGAAACTGTAGGCGTATTAACAAAAAATGTAGTGATGATGCTCGAGCTTTTTTTACTGAGAGAGTTCGGAATTAATTCTTCTTTCAAAACAGTAACATTGTTGCGAAAAATGGAAATATTAAAAGTTATTGATTAGAAGGAATTTCAGAACATGAATATGATTCGACATTGCGAACTTTGAGTTGAATCTTGATACATTAAAATGCAAAACAATAAAGTATTTAAATTTTATTTTTTTGTGCTAAAGCATATTCCTTAAAGACATTTTTTCTTTTTTTAATAAATAAATTTTCTACATATTTATATTGCTAAGCTGAATACTACTACTTGGTTTAATTAGAGTATATAAATTTTTTAACATCACATGATTTGTATTAACATATAGATGGCTCGCACAGAAACAATGTAAACGCCCAAATTGACGACAAATTAATTTGTTGTGGCATAAAAGTAATTTTAATAAAATGCATACAGAAATAAGTAGTTGAAGAAAAAAATTACATTAGGAAAGGAACATTAAGGAAATTATATTGGACTAAAGACTAAAGTTTATTATTGCTTTAAAGTCAAAGCGATGTAAGAAGCGATGTAAGAATCTTATATCGGTATTTAACTTTTTATTTCGATCTTTATGTTACATAAAAGAATTATAATAATTTATTTATTATATTGTAAAGTAATATAATTATTATTTATAATTATTAAAGAAATAATTGTCTAATTTAAGAATTACTTTTATTATACTCATCATATCAGCATCGGCATCATATAATAAAGACATAAAAAAACATATATTTAAAATATGCGCTTAAAATATGGCATTATGCATTTTAATATGTGGGAACTTAAAACCGAATATACTAGTGGAAAATTTTGTCAGTTCCGGGAGTTCCCATCCATTTTCTTTCATCTCCGTCACAAAATTTTTAAAAGTTCGATTTGCATACAGATCATTGATCAATTTTTGCATTTTCGGGGAATTTAGCTTCTCGATGAAATCGGCAAAGACCTTGGAATTATGCAATTTCTCATTGTAAAGAGCTAGAACCTTATCAAAAGGTATTAAATTATAAATATCCTCCAACAATCCTTTTATCCCATCACCGATCTTTTGTATTCCAATTTGAGATTTGAAAATGCTTTTTATTTTAGACGGCACATAATCCTCCATGCCAATAGCCCTATGAAATGTTTTGATGTAATCAGTAACATTCAATCCAGCCTCCTCCAGATATACTACTAATGCTTGATGTTCTTTAAGAGCTTCAAGATCGCGCAGACTGGAATGGAATTCTGGTGTCTGCAAGTATTGCAGAGAGTGCTGTACTTTTTCGTCTTCGGCTATATACTGTAAGGTTATCTCATTAATTTGATCAATCGGAAGAAGTTTCACAAAATCCATCAATTCGTCTTCCAGCGTAGGCTCTTGGTAAACAGTAACATCGTTCGGTACGATAAGGCCGAAGAGAATATACATGATGTCAGCTGTAATCTGCGTATTCACTCCGCTGCTTTTGAGTACATTCAAAATGATCTGCAAGGATTTAATTTGATAGACTTTGTCTACAGCCTGCTGGGCATTGTTTGACTTCAGTTGGTTGACAAAACCGACGAAAGCTGAAGAAGTTTCCATCTTTTGCACGTAAGTATGCATGATCGTGGCAATAGGAAGTACACCCATAATATCTTTGTAAAGTCCTACAATCCCACCAGTCCTCTGTATGACCAAAGAATATAAACGAGAAGCTGGTGGTGTGATCCTATCGATACCAAGAGCATCGTTAGCTTTATTTACTAATGAATAATTCCCCTCTATTTCCTGAACGGGCTGTATGCTCATCTTGAAATTTTGCAGGAGTTATTGGGTCATATGGGTTATATGTAACTATTTGGCATAATAAAAGTTTCAAAAATCGAGGTACCGAAAACGGGCATTTTTTGCATGGAGCTTGCGGAGGTTCTTTATCATCAGATCTTTTAATACGGTCGAAGATACAAGATTATTAAAAGCGTTTTGTACTTCCGGATCGTTTGATACGTAATCCAAAACGATAGTTTGAATTTCTTTAGAAGGAATTAAGTCCAAGAAGTCTTGGATATTCTCATAAAGAGGACCTGAGCCTGGGAAGTCCGGGAACTGATGAGTTTGTCCCAGACCAATAATGGTCAAGGCGGCAAATAGCGCTGATATATATTTCATCTGTAATATATTCACGCGTAAGAAGTTAGTATTAAGGGTGTCACAATTAAATTTTTTGTACCAAAATTTAATATTTTGTGTATAAATTTTAATATAAAAAAAAAGAATTATTTTTGAAACTACATTATTTTTTAAAATATAATTGTTTTATTTATGATTTACGTTGACAAAGTAATAATAAGAATAATAAAAAGAAATAATTATTATTATTTAATTAAGATGTTTTTCATAATTATTATTTGTTTTTGTTAAAAAATATAATTTTATTTATCTGTTCATGCATATATGATCTTTTTATAAGAGACTATGTTTTTACTTACCATGACAGCTGTTGATGAGCACAAAGACATTCGAGTTCTAGCTAGTTACCACAGATTTATATATCAAAGTTATCTTAAATCTTGTTAGAAAAGTCAGTTAATAAAGGATTAGATAAGATAAATTTAATATATAACAAGTAAATATCATACTATTTACTTCGTTATACATAACTTTTTACTTAATAACAAGACATTTTATTAGAAGTTAGAATTTGTAGAAAGTTTTTGTTGTATTTTTTTTTTAAACAATTTTAATAGCGTAATTTCACATTTACCGTAATAAATTTATATATTTTACTTTTTACAGAAAAGTTATGGATCATTTTTTAATATTACTTATTTTTTATTTGATATTTCACTATAAATTATAAATTCTGTCATAAAAATATTGTGGTTATTTAGCAAAATAAGGACAATAGTTATTATTATAAATTTTTCATTTTATTATTTTAATAATTATATAATGTTCTCGACACATCTGATGTTTTATATATTCAATATTTTTTACAACATAGAATTCTATACCATTTGTTAATAACACAAAACATAGTAACGTTATGAAGGCATATCGTATTTTTAATTCTTTTTATTATATGTCAAACAAATATTATCAATAACAGTTTTGCCCTTTATTTTTAATGATCGCTATGTTATTATAAAGTCCAGATAAATATATTTCTTCGAATGAAATATTTTTAACCGTTATCTTGGATAATCCTTGTTTAATAACGAGAAATGAGGAAGTTGTTATCAATGATAAATTGCATTGAGTACATATTCTGACAAATTTGATACGAATCATAGCACGATTAACATCAAACGTTTGGAAAAAAGAAACATGACTTAATTATGAATATCTTAATAAACACATTATAATATAAAATCTAAAAAGTAGAAATATATTATTTTTCCTCTGTAAAGAAAATGTAATGATTTTAAAATACAGACTAGCAAATAAAACAGTTCATCAATCACCACTCATAGTAAGATATTGCACACAAATTAAAGAGATAACACAAATTGTTAAATACAACTATATAGTAAAAGATAGACATATAATAACAAAAAATAAAAATTGTAAAGCAAATAAATAAAAATATTAAAACTGAAACATTCTTTAAATGTTAAAGTCAATTACACAGTAAAAAATCGTGCGTCCATATGTAAAATTTTTCTTATGTTATCACATTTTGATTATTACTTCAATGTAAAATAAATAACATACAACTGATATGTTATTATTTTTGTAACATTTTGATGTGTTAGATTCATGTCACCTTTCTAACTTAACAATTGCGTATGTCAATTAAAAATGGAATATTATTTTGAATGTTTTTAGCACAATTGTTTCAATTAATCTATATATCTCAAAGTCAATTTAACATCTAAGAATTTTTCATTTAACATTATACGAACAAAAATGTTTTATTAACATTTTCTTACGAGTTACTGCAACTACTCTTCTATGTACTCTACTTATTTTACATGTTAGTTTTAAGTCACCCTTAAAGTCAAAATAACAAATATAAATGTAAA